TAAATTTTGGTAGTTCACATACTTGGTTCCATATAACCCCTGGTGGCAATCGAGGCGGAGGCAAATCTTTCTCTCGTACATCTTTTTTAAAATTTGTCTTGTTTCTTCTATACGGGTGATTTGCTGGTAGGAATCTGCGGTGACAGTCAAACCATGAGCTTTTCCCACCTTTATCCAACGTAAATGCTTTGGTGTATCCCATGCAATGCGGACAACCCATTTTTCCATGCGTACCCCAACCAGACAACATGCCATATGCTGGAAAGTCATTAACGGTCCACATCAAGGCAGCTCGTAATGTGAAGTTCTGTTTACGGGATATATCATAAGTCCATTCTCCAATCCACATCTTCTTCAAATCATCAATTAAAGGTTGTAAGTACACATCAATTCCGGCTTTTGGACTGTGCGGGCCTGGAATAACACACGTCAAAAACATGTATGGTTTTGTCATGCACATCTCAGGAGGGAGGTTGTAAGGTGTTACAATAACTGGCCAACAAGAGTACGCACTTCCTGACGCTTGCACGTATGGGGCAAATCCATCAGAGCATAATCCAAGCCTGACATTTCTAGGTTCTGCAGCAAAATCTGGATGTGTCCGATCAAAGTGCTTCCATGCCTCACCATCAGATGGATGTCGCATAGTGCCAGAACTTGTTTGGTTTGTATGATGCCATGTCATTTGACTTGCACTGTGCATTGAAGCAAACATTCTTTTTAACCTTGGTATTATAGGAAGATAAAACATGGATTTTACTGCTACACGCTTTTGCTTGCTGTTAACGGCTCTACTGCGAACTTGATATCTTGGACTATTACAAAACTTACACTCCTCTAACGATCCATCTTGAGTACCAAACTCATTGTCATAAAACAACATGCAACCGTTAATGCAACAGTCAATCTTTCTTACTTTTAAACCCAACTTCGACACCCACTTCTTTGCATCATAATAACTTGTAGGAAAATTGTCTTTCGTAGCGGTGGAGTCCAACATCATTTTTGCAAAATGTTCCAAACATTGATCAGAAACATTCCAATTTGACTTGGCAGCCAATAATCTCACACACATTGATAGCTTCGAGTCTGACGACCCCTCAAACAACGGCGTATTCATCTCGTTCAATAATTGATAAAATCTTTGCGCTTCCTCATTCGGCAACTCTTCCCCGTCAAAATCTTCAGGTTCATCATATGTCACGTTCACACCAAAAGCATCCTCAACCATGTCACCGATCAAATTAAAGTTCTCCTCATACTCCATAACCGGTCGACTACTTGAAGCATGCGTGTTGCTAGTCTCTGGTACATTAACCGGTAGTTCTTCACCATTATACGTCCAAACCCAATAATTTTCAATGAATCCCCTTCTATGCAGATGACGTGTTACTTCCTCTGGGTCACTAATTATTGGTCTACATTCACACTTAAGACAGGGACATCTAACCCCTCCTTCGCTTCGACAACAATCCTGAGCAAACGCCCACTTAATAAACCCATCAACTCCTACTATAAAATTGGGTTTAAGTCCACTTCTTCCTGGATATGTTCTATCGTACATCCAACTGCGATAATACCGATAATATTCCATACTGCACATTTATACAATCATTGTCTTTTTCATTAGAAATATTCTTAAACTATTTAATACTATTCTTAGAAATATAAATTTTGCTTTTATATATATATACTAACATATAAATAAATATTCAAATGTAAAATATATAATTTTTTATTACATAACAATAATATCAAAAAACAATAATATAACATATTTACTTTTTATTATATATACAACAATAATATTAGAAAACAAATAATGTAAGATACATACTATTTATTATTATATATATAACAATAATATTAAAATAATAATATAATATATATATTCTTTTTTTAATTATGTTTTTTATAAATTGTTATTCTAATATATAATTTTTTTTCCATATCTTTAACATATAAATAAAAAAATAAAACTATTATAATAAATACAATATACATCTATAAAAAACATGTTATTAAATATGTTATTAAATTTATGTTTTCTAAAATTTTTTAAAAAATATATTAAATATGTTATTAAAAAATATGCAAATTACATATACACATATACTACTAAAAAATATATAAATCACATATGCAAAAAATATGCAAATTACATATACAAATTACATATGCAAAAAATATATTAAATATGTTATTAAATATGTTTTTAAAATTTTTTTTATTATCAGTAATTTTATACTACTAACAGTATATACATATATTCCTAACCACAAAATACATATACAAATCTAATCTATATAATACATATAAAATCTAAAAAAAAATGCATAAATACCTCTATATAATTTCTTCAATAAATTTGCGTCTTCTAGTTCTTGGTGTTCTTCAAATTTCTCTACAAATAATAACGAACAATCGAACAAATACCATGTTAATTAAATACTTCATTCCAGTATAAAAACTAAAGAACAAACGAAATAAACATTTAACATCATATGCATACCTTAGATTTCTTCAACAAATTGGAATGGAAGAAAATTAATTCGTGAAATTGGGTTTGAGAGGAACAATTTTGAGTTTGTGAGAGTTGCTGTAATGTTTGATAGCAAGCAAGCAAAGGCGAAGAAGAAGAAGCACGCTACTGTAAATCAAAACGTTAACATATGTAACTTCTAGTAGCGACGTGACTGTCACGTCGCAACGTTGCCACGTGATAATCACGTCGCTACAAACTAATCATAAATACTATTCTCTCTCCAACACTGCGCAGCGAAATTATTTTTCCCCCCAAAAATTTAGCGACGTGGCTATCACGTCGCTACAAAATTTCAAACTTCCCTCTGAAAAACGTTCACCAGTTTCCATTAAATGTCATTAAAATATATTAGCGACGTGGTTATCACGTCGCTACTACCCACGTGATACCCACGTAATAAACGTTCACCATTATTTTTTATTTTATCATAAATTTTTATGATTATCATTTATCATTAAATTTTCATGATTACCATTTAATATTTTTTTATCATGATTCAAGAATATAAATGTAACCTTTCAAAAAATATACACAAATATATTTAGAAGTCGGTAGAAAATTTTATTGGTTAAATTATAATTCCATTCAAAATTTATTGATCATAAATTTTTGAAATCAAATCATGCATAAAAATAAAATGTATTAATGTGACCATTCAAAATATTTTCTATATATAATAAAAATAAATAATATTAATACCTCCATTCAAAAGATATATTTGTAAAGTTTTGATTTAATTTTTTTTCATATCTTTATATATTCTAATGTATATAATATTCCTACAATATGAAACAGTATCAAACCTATAATATTAAAAGAGAATTCAAATTTTATTGATCATAATATTTTATGGAATCAAATCATATATAAAAATTAAATATATTTATGTCACCATTCAAAATAATTTCCATATAAGTATAATAAAAATAAATGATAATAATGTCTCCATTCAAAAGATATATTGGTAAAGTATCGAATTAAATGGTACTCCAATATTTGATTAAAAAATTGTAATATTTGTTTTTAATATTGTATAAAAATATATTAATTAGTCGTACTTTAAAAAAATAAATCGTAAATATTTTATTAAAAATTGAAATATTTGTTTCTAAAATTATAGCAATTAAAAATAAAAAAATATCAATACAAAATAAAAATTTTATTCAAATTTCACGACAAATGAGAATTATAATTTCGATTCAAAATAAATTAGAATTTTGAAGGCACATCAACACCAACTTGTAGGTTATTATCTTCTCTTTAGGAGAAGAGAAATTCTATTTAAAAAAGATTGTAAATATGTTAATTGAACGAAACTTAGAGTAGTGTGTTTGCTAGAGGCAATGCTACATTCAAAACAACTTAGAATTTGGTGTAAAATAAATTCCATTAAAATATAGGCCAACATAATTTGCAGTAGAAAAATATATTATGCCAAAACCAATGTTGATATGACATACAAAATATGAAAGCAATAATAATATACATATACATAATTTGAATCAAATATTGTTAAAAACATTCTTCTATAGAACCAGAAAATGATCGCATATCAACGTTGGTTTTATCATCTTATACCTCTTAGATAATTATTGCCTTGCTTATGAACACAGAGAATCAAAATATGGGAATGAAGAAGAATTGTAAAATAATACGTAACCTTTTGAAAATAATGGAGAATTTTAGAATGCATGGGAGGTTGTGATATCTTGGAATATCAAAATAATCCATTAAAATTTCAATAATATACATTTAATCTTGTAGTGTAATGATAAATAGTGAGTATTTTTAAATCATGCAATGAATAATATTCTATTTAATTATAATAGATCTAATTTGGCCACATTAGAATTCAAATTCTGTCAAAAAAACATTGGAATTCAAATATAAATAAATTAACCGTGAATGAAACATTGAAATTGGAATTCAAATATAACTAAAATTTAAATATAAATAAAATAAATTAATAAATCAAATAAATAAAAAATAGTGTAAAATTATGATAGATTGACATGTCAGCAAAATTAAATGCCAAATGAATATGGTAACAGCATAGTGTTGATTAGTCTATTATACCATTGGAATAAGAAAAGTTATAACATCTAATCAAAAGGTTAGACTTGACATTTCTAGATACTTTACTTTTAATAGATTGATAATAGATAGATAGATATTTTTTTATTTTTATAAAAATACAAAATTTAGTAGTTTTTGTAAAAATACAAAAAGAATCTAATTCAATGGAGTAAATATATTGATGGTCAAATATATTAAAAAAATAAAAATTATTTATAATAGTAATTGAAAGATATAGTTATTTTTGACCAAACTCTAATTATTAGACTTTTTATGAGTGTAAAAAATAAAAAATAAAAAGTGAAATTTTAAGTTAAATACAATTTCGCCACGTTACGAAAACACATGATCCCTCATGCAGCCGAACCACACCCGAGTGCCAGACTGTCAACGGCTAGATTCCATCGCCCACAGAGTTTATTCTATACTTTTTCTTCCGAAACGGACGGTCCAGATCATCCATGCATGCCCCAAAAACACTAATCCATCATTCACCACAACACGCAAACACTATCCCCCAATCCTTTTCCATAGCTCAACGTGGAGAAGGAAACGGCGCCGTTACTCAACCCAAACGGTGGTCCCGCGGCGGTCTACGGCGCTTCCTCGTTCTTCGCTCAGTGAGTTAGACCGCACGCTTTTCAGTTTTGGTTTTGGATTTTACCTGCATTGTCGTCTTCTACTGTTCGGTTAGTTTTCTCAACTTCACTTCTAACTTCACTTCCTACTTCTAGATCTAGTGTTGCTCTTGATTCAGCATTTCAATTAAGCTTTTTCAGTAGTTTCGTCTGGTGAATTTGTTTACAGAAAATTCACTTTCGAGTGTGTTTGAGTGTTTTTATTTTAATAATTTTAGAGTTTCGCTACTTCAATTCACTGCTCAATTGGATTATTTATAGATGTGTGATAGTTGATAGATGTGTGGTAGTTGATGGCTGATTGCATTAGTAACTCTGTGGCACTGATACCTCTAGAAAAAATGCTTGTCAACGTTGGTGTGAGAAACCGATACAAACACTTATGATTAAATTAAATTTATTTATTTTTTCAAATTATCACTCGTGTCGACGTGCCCATGTGAGAAACCGATACAGACACTTATGATTAAATTTAATTTATTTATTTTTTCAAACTATCATTGGTATCGATGTGTCAGTGTAGTGTCGGTGTTGTGTTTTAGTGTCCGTGCTTCATAGGTTAGTGATCACTTCTTTGATATGATTTTATATTTCTGTTCTGTATTCACTCCACTAGGGGATTTATTTAATTTTTTACTTCAAGTCACGATGAGGGTTTAGAGAAAGGAAATTTCAAATTTTTTTTTTTTGCTGAAGATGAGTATTTTTTCCACCGTTTATGCATGTGAAATTATTACTTTTTTTTTGTGTGTGATGTTGATGATGAGGAGTGAAAAGTTTGGTATTTATTTTTAGTATGATGTAAAAGACTGTGGTATTTTCTGGTGTCTGTAAGGGTGTTTATGGGATTGAACTAATTAAAATTTGGTACGTAACCTTTGGTCTGAAGCAATGAAAATACTTTGTTTTCTTGTGGCTTTTTCCTAAGAAAAAGGTCAAAATAGTTGATGTCATTAGAGCGGCAGGTCATGTTCCTAGCTTTTTCCTATCACATTTTTTGCTTCATATTTTGCTTTTGAAACACTGTTGTTTTTGTCATTAAACTAGTTTCGGGTTAAGAGTTTAACACTTTCTTATTTTTGGTGTTCAGTACCAAGATGGTTGCCCAGAACTTTGTAGTTGATTTGAATAAGGCCCTTGTTTTCCAGGTACAGGCTTAACCCTTAAAGACCCTCTTTCAAAAATGATCTCTGTATTAGATTTCAAATGTTGCATAGTTTTGATTTAAGTTTATGCGTGGACTTCTGTTGTGATAAGTGATTACAAGTGGATAGTTTGTACTTTGTATAATGTATACCGAGTAAATATTCAAAGCACCTGAGCAAATTTTTAGTGTTCTACAGGTTGGTCATTTGGGTGAAGCTTATGAAGAGTGGGTTCATCAGCCCATTGTTAGCAAGGAAGGCCCCCGTTTCTTTCAAAATGAGGTTCTGGAGGTATGTCATTAAACACGTCCACAATAACCAAGCCTTGTATCATTTTGTGGGGGTGGCTAGGCGGACCAATTAATGATATTTGATTTATAATAAACCGAGTTTTTGGTAAATTGTAAAAGCGTTTAGAGCAAGGTCTTTTTCACGGTTTCTTCAAAAAAATTCTATGACCATACTTCCTCCAAAATTTAATTTCATTATCTTCCACGTTTCTACTTTCTATCATTTAATTCTTATTGGCCCTCTTCTCATAGATAAAACTAAACAGGACGAGTTTCAGTTATTTTGTCGTGAATAGTCTCTAATCTAAGTTTCTCCCTGAATAATCACTCCTAATCTTATTTTGTTTCCGTGTATCTCTAGTTTATATTAATGATTAAGTTTTCTGGGATATAGCTTTCGGATAAAGTTTCCCTGTTTTTGATTGGCATGTTGCAACTATAGTGATCATGGTGCTATCTTTAATCTTTTTAACAATCGATCACATTACAAGCAGATGGGGATTTTGAACTTTATGTCATTAAACACGTCCACAACAACCAACCCTTGTATCACTTTGTGGGGGTGGCTAGGAAGACCAATTGATGATATTGGATTTATCATAAACCAAGTTTTTGGTAAACTGTGAAACTGTTTAGAGCAAGGCCTTTTTCAATGGTTTCTTCAAAAAAAAAAAATTATGATCATAGTTCCTCCAAAATTTTAATTACACTATCTTCCACATTTCTACTTTCTATCATTTAGCAGTTATTGGCCCTCTTCTCACAGATGAAACTTCACGGGACGAGTTTCAATTACCTTGTCGTGAATAGTCTCTAATCTAAGTTTCTCCCTGAATAATCACTCCTAATCTTATTTTGTTTTAGTGTATTTCTAGTTTATACTAATGATTAAGTTTTCTGGTATATAGCTTTTAGATAAAATTTTCCTTTGAGTTTGATTGGCATGTTGCAACTATAGAGATCATGGTGCTATCTTTAATCCTTTTAACAATCAATCACATTACAAGCAGATGGGGATTTTGAATTTTATGTTCTATACATTTTAGAATATCATGTGTTCCTGACTCGTTAATGTTTGGAACAGTTCTTGACCCTCACAGTCTGGTGGGCAATACCAGTCATTTGGCTTCCAGTTGTATGTTGGTTTGTATATAACTCTGTAAAAATGGGCCTCAGCTGTCCTCATATAGCTCTGATGGTGGTTCTTGGCATTTTTGTGTGGACATTGCTTGAGTACACATTGCACCGTTTTCTTTTCCACATTAAAACAAAGACCTACTGGTTAGATCTCTCTGTGTTCCCTTTTGTTTCCATAGCATGAAATTATAATTGGATTTGAGAAATGTTGGCAACACATTCTCTAACATGCTCTATTATTGTAATAAAATACATGTTGGTTTGCTTTGCCCAAAGACAGAGTGCGTCCCACCAAAGAAAAAGTGGCACTGGCATGATTTAGTGGACTTCAATCAGAATTTTACCCAATAATAAACAACTTTTTTAAAAGAATGTGTTGCTAGCGTTAATCATTAGTTTTTGCATGTAGTTGTCTTAAACCATATCTGCTTTGAGTAACAGCTTATTGTTTTTTAATCACGCTGAAAGTTTATTTCTGTAATGTTTTTTTTTGTTGGTTAAATGTTGCTTTAGGGGAAATACCATGCATTATCTTCTACATGGCTGCCACCACAAACACCCCATGGATGGTTTGAGACTTGTTTTCCCCCCTGCTGCAACAGCTATATTATTGTTCCCGGTATCTATTTTTTGCCATATTATATGCTGCATTTTCCAATATTGGCTGTAAATAAATCTTGCGATTTCATCTAAGTTTTTACCATGAGTTCTAATGAAAATTTGGAATGACCGAAAGAGTAATTCAATTTTTTCCCTTCTACTGAGAAAATTCAAGCCTCGCATTGGCTTGTGATAGTCAAAGTAGAGCTTCTAAAACGTCAGCAATCCTCACCTTACTAGTCGGTCTTCTAAGGTTAAGTTAGGTCCAAAAAACATTAGACTGTCTCCAATCTAATTAGATTATTAGAAGTATGGCTTAAGGTTTTGGTCCTTGTATATTTTTATTATATTGTTAAAATCTATTAATGTTGGTCATTCTTTTTTTAAAATCATTCAATTTGGGTAGCTCACCAATCATGTTCAATGTTTTTCCTACAACAATTTTTTCATCCAATTACTCCTTTAAATAGTGTCACATTGAAGTTTGTGGGAAGTGTGTCAAATGGTTATTTAAATCATAAGTGTTAGATGTATTATTTTTTATGGCATTACTACATGCCACTATTTAATAAAATGATTTGGAAGGAAAGTCACCACTAGGGGTACATCATTGGAAGTTTGAAGCAGAACATTTTTAAAGCAGAGTAACGTATAAGAATGGCGGATAAGATCCTACTATAGTTGGAATTGTATTTAATTTCGTGCTGGAAAAGAATGAATCTTCAAATAATAATTTAAGGTCTTACTACACCTTAGCTTAAGAAAATCAAAGAAATTGTTGTATCTGGATTTCTTAACTCAGGTCAAGACAGATGCTCCCGTCGTGTATAACGCAATTTGTAGCTTTCTTTTGAAAATGTAAAAAACTTTTTGCCATTTTATAAAATAATTCTGAATGTAGATATGTGATGTGTCAATATTGGTAAGGTTCAGAGATAACTTTTGCACACATAGTTTAAGGTTCCATGAAGTGATGTTGATGTTTTTGTATGTCGGTCTCTAGTTCTGGAACACGGTGAAGCTCTTTTCGACCCCTTCAACTGCTCCTGCTTTATTTGGAGGCGGCTTATTGGGTTATGTAATATATGATTGCACCCATTATTACTTGCACCATGGTCAGCCAAGGACTGAAGTTCCCCGTAATCTCAAGGTAATAACACTTCCCTCCCTCCTTTAACTGTGGATGACAATTAAATTACCTTTCATTACTCCAATATTCTTCTAATCAAAATCATTTTGTTCTAATGAAAATCTATGAAAGGGAAGTAACAGCCGTATAATTTACCAGATATTAGCTGATCAAAGTTAGTTCTTCTAGCAGTTAAGTATTTAATTTCACTAGAAACTGAGGGGCATTAAACCTAGATATGTGTATGTAACCATTCGGTGCAATAATTATTTTTCTTGCCTTCTTTCTGGCTGTCTCTTTACAACAACAACCAAGTTTTATCTCACTAAGTGAAATCGGCTAGATGGATCAAATTACGCCATAATGTTCTATCAAAGATCATGTTTCTATCCAATTCATTAATCTCAATATTTTAATAGTTTATCTGGTTTTCTCTTAAATTTTATTTTAAAGAAAAAACAGGAATGTAGACGGTTCCCACTCCTCTTTTCGATAATACTTGATGCCTTTTGTAATACGGTCACCAAACATGGCACATGGTCAAGTTTCTCAAGGAATTTGGGTCATCCTTTTTTGGGAACACAATAATTTCATTTTTGCACATGTTCTGCTTGGGTACCCTTGGTACTACCCTTCAAATCTTGGATATATATATATATATATATATATATATATATATATATATTGCTATTATTGTATCTTCCTAAACATGCTATTGATGTATTCTCAAGGATGTGAAAGATTTATTTG